TAGAACGACTTTTTTTTAATAATTCTTCAAGTTCTTTATCTTCTTTTGATTGGGTTGATTTTTCTTTGAATTTGCTGGTGTTTATATTTTCTTCTTCGCTATCTATTTCTGCATTGTCCGACTCATGACTTACCACTCAGTTATTTTTTGCTGAGGTATTTTCTAAATTATTATTGTTGCTGGTTTCAGTTAAGTTAAATCCTTGAATGATTATTTCTTCTTCGGTCGTGCCACCAGTTTCCGCGGTGTTATTCGCTACGGAAGCACCTTTAAGAATGTTGCCGCTGCCTTGAATGTTGAAACCTTGAACAGTCATGGATCTCTTAATTACTACTTTTTTGTATTTTTTTGGTGGCATGTTAGTTTAGTTGTTTATTTTTTAAAGGCATTTCTGTGGTGGCTTGTAATTCGGCATCAATATTTTCTTCTTCATAAGTAATTGTTTCTAGAGTATTACCTTGAACAGAAGGACTAGTAAGAGTGTTGTTGCTTCCTTCAATATTGAAACCTTGAATATTTTTAATTTGTTGGTTAATTGTTCGATTGTCAATATGGAAAGTTTGATTAACATTATCGAGTTTCTTTTGTATTTCTAATTTTAATTGGGTGATTTTAGTTTGTAGTTGGCAAAATAATCCAATTTCTTCGTTAGTTAATTTATCACTCAGTTTGCTTTTGTTTTTTTCTATTTTCCTGTGAATAAGAGAACTATTACTTTGTATGAAATCATCTTGAATTTCTAGTAATTTTTCAAGAATTTTTCATCCCTCGCTACCTAGTTTTTCTTTAACGTTGTTTTTTAATTCCTCTAATTCTTTTTCTCTTTGTTCGATTTTTTGTTTTTTAACGAAGCAAAGCTGTTCAAAGGAGGCAAGTTGCTTTGCTAGTTTTTGGTATTTTTTTTCAAAATCAATAGAATTATCGATAGTTATTGGTTGTTTTTCTTTTAACTTTTTATTTTCTTCTCTTAGAGATTGAATATTTCTTAATAATTGTTGAGGATTTTGATTAACTAACTGGATTAACTTTTGCAAATCTTTTTGATAGACTTTTCAATTTCCTTTATAGGGTTTTAGGATTTCAACTAGTTCAGCATTACCATTTATCT